TTCCCCATTTGCTTACCACTCACGTGTAGAATTCAATTCCTAGAATGGCCTTTAAGCAAACACATATGATTGACTGTCATGGCGAAGGGCACTCACAAGACTTTGATCCAACAGCTGTCGGCACCATCAAAGGTTCCTTTCTCCAGGAATCGATTGGCACCTCCCCATCACAACCCAACACAGACACGCATTTCAAAGGGGCGCTAAATTTCAAAGCAACTGAGAAGTCATGCACCACGCTCTTCCTAAAGCAATGGACCAAATCACACAATCGGGGCGTGGTTCCACTGCAGGTCATTTGTTTGGCTATGCTTTAATGCTATTGAAACATACGAAAACATCAGGGCATATCATTGTTTCCATGCGAGCTTTCCAAGGCAGAAAATGTTTTTTTTGTTAAAGAATAGTTATACTTTGATATATTTATCATATCTCTGCCTCTGGGTTTAATAATATTAATCTGACCACTTCATTTGTTTGCCAAATCTTGGTTGCATGCCTAGCCTCACTGCTGGAGGTTGACCAGTGAACTGAACAGCAACCCCCTGCTATCGCAGCTTACATTTCACCGAGGCAGAGAAGATAAGCATATTAGCAAGTAGAGGCCATTCTCAATTTATGACCTGTTTGAGTTATGATGGACCATATATGACTGTGGTGTGTGTGTGTGTGCATCTTGTTAGGAATGTGTACTACACAAAAGGTTATGCTCATATTCACTTGCGGCTATTCATAAAGGTCAAATTTATCAAGATACGGGAAATAATCCCAAACTCACCGCCATCCAGTCAATTCTGAATCATGGTGACCTTGTAAGACAGAGGACTGACCCTGTGGGTTCCAAGGCTGCAACCCTTTATGGAGCAGAAAGCCTCATCTTTCCCCCTTGGAGTTACCTGGTGGTTGTGAACTGCTAACCTCGTGGTTAACAGCCCAACGTATAACCATGATTCTGCCATGGCTCCAGATGGGAAATAAAAGGCAATCATAATATGTCAGAATTGAATGGATGTATGGAGTCAACAAAGTGGAGGCCCATGGGAAACTCTGGCCTAGCAGCTCCTAATGGAACATCTCAGACAGTGTCTGAGTGTGACGAAGACAAATTGAACACTAAGGAGCAGGGCAATGGGGGATTGCAGGGGGAGGAAAGCACTGTTTGATTCTGGTTGTTAAGCAGTGCCTCGCTGATAGACCGAGACCTAATCAGAAACTCAAAGAAAGAGGGAAGCAAGCATCAGAGGGGAAGTCCCAGGGCCAACACTATGTGCAAAGGCACTGAGACAGGTGTCTTCTTGGAAAGTTTGGCTAGTGGGAGTCAATGATGGTACTAAAAATGGTCAAAAATCCGTTTAGAGAGGAAGCCAGGACCCAGACAGAATGAGGGCCTGCTAAGTGATGATAAAGAACAGGGTTTTATCTAGAATGAATCCGCTTCCTGGTACAAACCAAACCAGAACTGAGAAGGGAAGGGGTTGGGTAGTGCTGAGGATGGGGCAAGATGATCAAGTTCAAAAGCAGAAAACCAGTCTCGAGGCCACCTTGATAGTTCAAGTGAGAGATGGGGAAAAGCAGTTTGATTCTGTGTGTATTTTCCCAGGTTGAGCTGCAAGGTGGGTGCGAGTAAAAGACAGGCATCAAGGACAGCCCTGAAGATTTCATGTCAATAAAACCATACCCAAGGTGAATTAGGGGGGGTGGGTGGGCAGGGGGGCCTTGAAGTGGAGACCCAATGCCCATCTGTTGTCAATTGGACTTCCCCTCACAGAGGGGTCACAGGAAAGAGATGAGCCCATCGGGGTGCAGTATAGCACCAATGAAACACACAACTTTCCTCTAGTC